CATGGCAACCAGACCCCCCCCCCATGCCCACAGCCGGGGCATCACCCTCCGCGGCCAATGATGGGCCCTGCTGGGCGGGGGTCTCTGGGGTCCCTGCCAGGCTGGGGGCACCTGAGGGGGCGTGTGGGGTCTCCAGGGGGGCTCCATTGTCCCTGCTATGTTGTGGGGGCTCCAGGTCCTTGCTGGACAGGGGCTGGGGTAGTTGGGTTGGGCAGTGGCCTCCTCTGGACCCTCCCCAGATTCCCCGCGGCCCTCCTGAAGCGCCGCTCCCCCTGCGGCCTGGCCAGCGCCGCGTGGAGGGGGAGCAGCGCCTCCCTCGACGTGTTGGTCGTGCATCTGCTAGGACACGACAAGGTGCGATCGGCCTAGCTGGCGGCCTCGCTGCACTGCCGGCCCGTGTCCATCTCGGAGTCAGCTATAACTCCGAGATCTCTCAGCCGCTGAGCTGGTCTTCCCCCAACCTGTGGGCCTGCCGGGGATTTCTCCTCCCGCGGGGGAGTACCTTGCATTTATCTTTGTTGAATTGCATCCTATTTCGTTCTGCCCATTGATCCAACCTGTCCAGGTCGGCCTGTACCCGCTCCCTGCCCTCCGGTGTCTTAACTTTGCCCCATAACTTGGTGTCATTTATGAAGTTGGACAGGGCGCTCTCCACATCCTCGTCCAAATCGCTGATGAAGATACAAAATAACACCGGTCCAAAGACGGGCCCCTGCGGGACCCCACTGCCCACCTCCTTCCAGGCCGAGAACGACCCGTCCACCCCCTCTCTGGTGCAGTCCCTGAGCCAGTTGGCCGCCCCCCCCGACCGTGTAGGCATCCGTTCCCCAGCCCGTTAGCTTCCCTGTGAGACTAGGATCCAAACTGCGTCGAAGGCCTTTCTAAAATCCAGGTAGATGACATCGGCCTCCACTCCTGTGGCAAGGCACTGTGTGACCTGGTCATAAAAGGCTATAAGGTTTGTCAGGCAGGATCTGCCTGTGACGAACGCGCGCTGGTTTCCCTTCGGCATCATTTCCCCTGCTGGGCCTGCACAAATGCGCTCTCTGATGATTTTTTCCAGTATTTTCCCAGGGATAGAGGTAACGTGGAAGCATAGTTCTGTGTTGGAGGGGGGGGGATCAGACACAGTCCTGGCTTGCTTTTATCTTATGGGAAAACACCCCCTCGTGCCAATTCGCCGAAGGCTCCACGCATCTGAAATTCAGCCCTTAGCTGATACTACGGAGATGAAAACTTCCCTGTAGGCGCCGGTCCCAGACCTGCTGTCTACGTGCTGTTGGCTTCATAGACGGTGGGATCAGACCAGCCCGTCGACACACAAATGAGGCAGCCCAGGCAGGAGAAAGTCGGGGACCAATAACTGGCTTGTAGGCGCCAGGGACGGGCTGCAGGGGCTGCTGTGGAGGTGCTGGGGAGCTGCTGCTCTCCGCGGGTTCGGTGGGAGTCTCCTGCGCTCAGCAGCGCTGAAGGTCCCCGCATTTCTGTAGGCTGTCTTACCTCCAGCTCCCGAGCCCTTGCTTCCAGCCCTCACGACTGACTGTGCTCATGGCAGCTCTCATCACTTTTGCAAGGGAAAACCTCATGGGCCGGACCCCAGAGCTGCACCGTTCAGACGAGCTGAGGGTCAAGCCCAGCCTCAAGAAATGATTTCTAACCATTGGCTCTAGGGGCCAGCCTGCAGACTACCACAGGGACCAACCGTCCCAGTCACTGGCACATGGGAAAGCAGGGGAAAAAATGGGCCCGGGGTCAAAGGCTGTCCTGGAGAAAGGAAGAGCTGGACAAGCCCCATGTGTTCATGGTGTCAGACGGGCACTAAACCTTGCAGAATCACTGGTTGCCTGAGACCGGATCCCTGCCTTTGACCCTCCGAGTCCTGTTCTGGAGACCTGCCATTGGGCTGCGCGCCCTGCACTGTGCTTCCCAGGCACTTTTCTAGCCGGAGCTGGCACAGAGGTGCCGTTCTTGACGCTTTTCTTCTGTTTCAGAGACTCTTCTCAAGATGCAGCTGCTGCCCTGGCCATCTCTTGCCGGGAAAGCACCTGGGGATCCTGGGCTCCACTTACTGGAGAAGGCTCCTCAGCAGTCCACCAGCCCTGGAAGGTGAGATTCCCTTGTGGACATGGAGGAGGTTGGGTCTCTTGTTTGCTGTGTCCCAACCTTGCAGCTGGGGTGGTATGATTTGCTGGGGTGATATGACCGTGGCACCCGTTCCTGCCCGGGGCAGGGGCTCGGACCTGATGATCTGTTTAGGTCCCTTCTGACCCTAAGCACTATGAAACGACTGCACGTGTGCAGGGAAGGTTCCCCCCAGGAGACAGCATCGACCTTTCTTGTGAGAGCTGAGAAAGAGGCTTCTGGTGAGATGAGAGAAAGGAGAAAGCTTCCCACAGCGTCTCAGCTGCCATGCTGAGATGTGACCTTGGGCCAAACTCTCAAGGCATCCAAGGACTGGGACAGGGGCTTGCTGGGGTTTTCTTTGCTTTCAAGCCCGGTGTTGTGATGGGCAACACAGAAGTGCCAGACCCAGGGAGGGAGATGGGCCTGCTCCTCTCACTGGGGTGGTTTCTCTCTCACCAGCTCCCCACCTGCTCACACGGCCTCTCTCAGACGAAGCAAAACTGGGCACGATGGCACCCGGGGCAGAGCTGGTGCTGCGGTGCGGAAAGTGCGCTCATGCTGGAGGTAAGAGGGGCCGAGGGAGCAAATCTCTTCACTGAGACTCAGAAGAGCCCAGTTCCCGCTGCTGTGGCGCAGGCTTCCCTCCCACTGGGGGCTGCTGCCGCACAGGTGCCCGCATGCCAGGCTGCCTGGGGCATTCAGCCCCCAAAATCAGTCCCTGCCTGCCCTGGCCATGCTGCTGTCCATCCCTGAGGCCTTCACGGCCTTTCCTGTAGCTGAGAGCTGGGAGGGCTCAAGATCCCAGCTGTGAGCAAGGCTGGAGGCTGCTGGACGGCTCCTGTTCTGGCAGGACCCGCGTGGGCGGGACAGCCCCAGGGCTGGCTCTTTGAGAGGCTGCGTCAGATACCGAGAGCGGTTGGTCCCCTCCTCGCCCCCGAGTCTCCAAGCACTGCCACGTGCACCACCACGTTCCCTCCTGACGGGACTTCCCGGGTGGGCACTTCACTCCTCCGCAGCCCCTGGGGCAGCCGGCAGAGCCCAAGTGCCCTCCTCGTGTGTAATCAATTGACAGTCACAATCCGTTGTGTCTTCTTAGACCACAGGCACCAGGAGGACAAGAGCTTCCCAAGACGGGCATCATGCCCCAAAGAACCCCTGTCTTCGCGAGGGCCGTGTCCGAGTACAGTACGTGGATGCGGTTCACGTTCAATCTGACTGTCTGCGGCAAAGCAGACACGTGTGTCGGGATTTGTGGCCCCGGCCCGGGGGGCTGTTCAGTTTGACATTACACGACTGCTCCTCACAGCTCGTGTGGGACCTGCCTTGACTCTCAGGGGTTTGGTGCTTGCAAAGCCCACGGCAGGGCCAGCCCCGTAACCATCCCTGTCCTGGGGACGTGAGGCCTCAGAAACCCGTGTGCAAAGTTCAGGAGACCTGCCCCAGGTTTCTCTCCACGGGGTAGCTCCTTCCTGCTGCATCCTGTGCTCTCTGGGTGGCGTTTGCTTCAGCAAGGGCGACCATCTCACACCATCAAGAGGCTTCTCCTTTGTCGGTGCAGCCCTCCATGCAAGCACATACTGCAGCTCGCCGTGTCGGTCAGGCTGGGGTTGTCCACGGGGGCTTCTTACCTGCTTCCACTTTGGCCCACGCTGAAGCATTTTGCTGGATCAGGTGGGAGGGAGGAAAGCCTGGGGCTGTGGCCAGGAAGGGACTGAGGCCCTGAACGGTCCCTTGAGGTGCCCACAGTGGAGCTCTTCCAACCTGTCCCGCAGCTGCTGTCTGGCCCAAGAGGCACCAAGGTGTCCCGTCCTGCCACTGCCCAGCAGATCAGCCCGGGGGAGGGTGCGGACGACCCACAGAGCAGGGGTCAGTTTCTGGGCCTTGCCCAGAACAATACTTCAATCCTTGTTTTCAAGTCTCCTCCAGAGAGACCAGCCACAGCACACGGTCCAGCCCGCAGCACCGGCTCTCTTGTTGGGGCGCATAGACCAGGATTCCCCATCCGGAGCCAAACCTGGCAGGAGATGAAGGGTTTCACCTCCCTTGCCCCCATCTCAGCCTCAAGCCCCTGTCGCACGGGGTGGGGGGAGCTGCTGCTCTCCTCTGCTGCTCGGTAAGAGCCAAGTGACCGCTCCGGCTTGGGGAGGGTCATTCACTCCAAGATGCCCCGGCCTCAGCCCCTCTTCTGCAGGTGGGCCGGGGGTCCTGTTCTCCTGCCCCTTCTCCAGCTGCCTGCCCTGACCAGGGCTCGGGGCTGCTGGAAGATGACCCCCCCCACCAGAGCCTGAGAGAGATGCTTTCACCGGTGCTGCAGGTGGGACGAGTTCTTGCCGTCTGTGCATGCGAGCGAGCCTGGAGCCGGGCACAGAGGAGCGAAAGGAGGAAAGGCTGCGGATCCTGCACCCGTGCGAATGGTAACGACCCCCAGCACTGCCGGCATCTCCCGTCTGCCCCATCGCTGCCTTTGCGCCGCGGGCTCCCTCCTTCCTGCAGCCCCGTGCCAGGCTTTGCCGCAGGGAAGAAGAGCCAGCCCTCCCCTACCTGCTGTCCTGCCTCATGCCAGAAAGGGGGTCGACGCCAAGCCCCACTGGCCACCTCAGCTCCATAGAGGCCCTGCTGCGAGCTGGGCCAGGGAAGGAGTCTGACCCTCCTTCACTCAAGCAGACCCACAGCTGCCCTTGGAGATCCCCACTTGGGGCCTCTCCTCTCCTCCAGGTGCCTGAATCCCTTCCAGGACGTGGCCCCCAGTCCTGTAGCTTGGAGGTGGGCGGCTCATCCCTCGAGGCCCAGAGGCCAGGGCTGGCAATGGCCACAGAAGGCTGCAGCATCCATGTGGAGGGCTCCGTCCTGTGCTGGCTTTTCAGCACATCTGACTCCACAGGCAACTTTTGTGGCCTCTGTGGGCCAACCTGCAGAGAACCACTCGTCTTCCCAGGGGACAGACGTTTGCCCGGTGGGTCTCAGGCTGGGATGTGAACCCCTGGTCAGAGCCCCGTACCCAGCAGAGCCACGACCCGCGCAGCATGTCAGGCACTGGCAAGCAGGTTTCGGGACATGTGGAGGCCACAGGGAGCTCAATCTGAAGTGTTCCCTGGAAGCTCTGCTTCCTCCTGCCTCTCTCAGGGGATCCCAGACCAGGAGTGTGGCAGCCATCAGTTCTTCACGGCCCTGCAGCTTTCCGTACCGGCTCAGTGCGGCCGAGGGGCACAGAGCCTGCCTTGCTCCTCCTCGCTCTGAACAGCTGCATCTGGGCCCTGTGCGCAGCATTGCACCCCAGAGCCCTGTGCCCTCCAGAGGCCTCTGCATGGTGCGATAAAGTGCGGAGGGGTGTCCAGTCGCTCAGCTCTCCAACCCCCAGCCCAGAGCCACGTTCAGCTCCACGAGAAGGGCCGACCGTTCCCACTGACCACAGGGGAGGGGGTTGGGCGGACTTCAATGCACATTGTTTCCACCAGTGAATTAAAGTTAACATACGTCTTTCTTAGCACTGGGATGCTGGACCTGCTCTTGCTGAGCCCAACTCCAGCTGCAGACAAAGCTCCCAAGGGCTCTTGGTAGAAGGGGGGCAGCACCCACTGAAACCTCCCCCTGCCCATTTGATACTGGAAGTCCTCCTCGCAGGGCAGCAGGTCATGAGGAACCACCGTGGGGGGCGACTCTGCTTTCTAGAGCCGTCTCAGATCTTGCTGCACAAACTGTTCTTGGGGATACGGGCTCCTGCCAGTCTCATTTCCTACCAACAACTTGAAGAAGAAAAACTCACAGCAGTGAGACCGTAATAATCTGCAGAGACTTCAGTGCAAGCGCTGGATGAAGTTTTGAGACCTGGCCTGGTGTCGTGGCCAAGCACCGAGTTGGTGATAGGAGCGAACACGGCCAGCGAGGGCTAAGCCCTTGCAGGTCCAAACCGACCTGCTTCACTGGAGAATCACAAGGAAGACATGGTGGAAACACCCAAGATCAAGGCATTGGCACTAATTACAGCTAGTAGTGACCAGGCACGGCCACCTGAAAGACATCCTGCATACAAGGTCTGATCACAGCGTGACTGCGACCCTGGCTGTGCCCTCATCCCCTGCAGAGTCAACGCCAGGGAAGATCCACCGTAGCGCAGCGACCCATGGGCCTCAAACCGATGATGCAGAAGGATGCAGACAGTTCAGTGAAGATGCCATGAGACTCACATTTACCGAACAACTTGTCCCCGAGGCCAGGGAGAGCGGAAACACTGGCGTGTGCAATGCTGCTGTACCAGTGCTTGGCAAAACCTGCACGAAACCTGTGGACTGGTGTGAAGAGCACTCGCCCCCTCGTGCCACTGGTGGAGAACAAAGCACAGCGCTAACCACCTCCCCGCACCACAGCCCCGGACACTGGCCTCATACGGCCCCCACAAATTAGCCCTGCCACCCGTGTCCTCCATAAGTCCCACTCCCCTTGCCCCCCACGTGAGTCTCAGCACCCCTGCATCCCTGACCCCCCCACCCCCCCACAAGTACTGCCCCCTCTGCCCATAACCCACGTCTTGATGTGATAGAATAAAACACTTGGTGCGTTCATGTCTGCAGGCTTCCCAAGGGCCCTTTGTCACAGCGCCTGCAGGTTTTCGATTTACCACCTTTACTCGAGTCCAAGGCAAGAGCTTTCCTCCCATTCAACATCCTTGCTCAGGGGCACCCGCAAGGCTGGGAGGGGCACAGGGGGCTGCCATTCGAGTAAGGGGCACAGGGGATGGGACGGGTGACTGGGGGTGGGTGTGTGGGGCACCGGGGATGGGACGGGTGGACTGGGGGCGGGTGTGTGGGGCACAGGGGATGGGATGGGTGACTAGGGGGTGGGTGTGCGGGGCACAGGGGATGGGACAGGTGACGGGGTGGGTGTGCGGGGCAGTGGTTGGGAGTGAGGGGCAGCAGCAGGGCTGGAGGGGTGGCTTGTCAGTGAGGGGCAACAGAACGGGAAGGGGCAGAGCACTGGCATGTCACCCCCCACCCCAACAGATTTCCCCTCCCCTGCTGTGACGTGTCCTCTTTTGGGGACCTGGATATATGGTAACCCATGACCTGGCCCCACAGGCATCGTCCCCCCAGTATCTCTCCGGCACTGGGGGCACTGGAGCAACTGAGGCTCCCTGGGA